GATGGCATTGGCTGGTAGACAGAACCCGGAGGAGGCCGTATACAGGTGGTCTCCTTCTCCCCCCTCCCCATTCCCCTTTATCTTGCCCATCTCCTTTAACAACAATAACCCCATCAACACTAAATGAAAGTACCATCAGCAAGAAATCAAAGCAAAACTAACATTTAAAAACCAAGCAAAACCCAAAAAGAAAAATAGTAGATGTCACAGGAAATATATGAACCATTGAACTTGAAGTTAGACCACCCAGAATCATATTGATCACATGTCCCAAGACAATGATAAAGCCTTCAAACTGATGTCTTCTCCCCATTCTTTTTTTTTTTTTTTTTGACCACAGATGAACAGCATCATTTGAATAAATATTTTCTTTTTAATTGGTTTGCTATCCTTTCTCATCACAGTTAATTCTCATTGTGGTACTTTCTTTTTATCATAGATGAATTAAGTTCTTGGGACCTTTTGATTTGCCTCTCATCTAACAAAGCTGACCATGAAAATTGCTTAAATATAGTGGAATCATATCAACCAACACTACTGCAAAAGGTATGGCTGCAAAATGACCTCCCTTTCTGGCAAATGCTTAAATACTGTGGGTTTTTTTTTTAACTCTGCATTTTTATTTATTATGAAGCATCCTATCAGATGCCAGGTTTGGCACCATTCGTCATTCTAGTACTGTCTCCCTTTCACAAGAATTTGCTGATATTAAAGCAGAAGCTTTGCAAGAGTGAAGTCTCAAGTGCATTTTCTAAAATCTTTTCTTCCAGCATAGCTGGAAGGGAAAAAAACACAATATGTTTTTGCCAGAGATGTTGAAGAACGTGAATATTCATACATTGATATTGATTTCACCAGGGGCAAGGTTATGTACTAAACTGTCAGAATCATGGAATGGGATAATTATCTAGGGTTTACTAAACGGGACTTTTGTATTTCATCTCTCTCACACATAGCCACATGGGATACTGCAGAAAGAAAGAAAAACAAGACTTTTTAACAATTTATATGTATAAAGAGTATTTTGGAGTAAAAAATGTCCATTTTACCAGATAGATGCATGGACAGAATTTTTTGCTTGCCATCCTTGTCTTTAAAATTAAAATTAAAAGGAAAAATGCTGTTTTACAAACAGGTAAAACAGGCATGTCAAAGAGTGGGATTCAAAAATGTTAGCAACCATTTATCTGCCATGTTGCTGGGTGGGTGTGGCCATGTGGGTGTGGCCTACTTAGCCTCTTGCACCATGAGGGGGGGCAGTTTCACCCTTCCCAGGCTCTAGAGGCTTTCCCCAAGCCTCCGAGAGGGCAAAAACGGCCTCTCCAGGGCACCAGAGGACTTCTGGGAGGTCCGTTTTTTACCCTCGCAGAGCCTCTGCAAGGGCTCTGCACTTACCTGACATGATGAACAGGCCACAGGGAGACTCCTGGGAGGGGCAGGGTGGGTGGGGCCTGCAGGTCCTTGCAACAACCGGTTCATTGAACTGGATACAAAATTAACATCCAGTTTGCCCCAATCGATGTGAAGCAGCTGAATATCACCCCGGGACATGTCCCATAAGCAAAAGTACAATTTTGTCTTTGAACTTCAATAAAAAGATAGATAAATATTATGGTGCATGCTGCAGACTGAGTTCATGTTATATGGCCAATCCTGTTCGATGCCTATGCATTTTCTCCTTCCCAAGTATAGTAGAGATGCTGGAATAAGGGGTGGCCGTTGTCAAGGGGACAAATAATAAAAACAGGATCATGATGCTAGGCAGTGGTGGGTTTCAAAAAATTTTAGAACCTCTTTTGTAGGTGTGGCCTGCTTTGTGGTACTGGCTTGCCAGCCATGTGACCAGGTGGGAGTGGCTTGCCAGTCATGTGACTGGGTGGGCGTGGCCAACTTGTAAAATGTGGTGAAACTCACTTAACAACACTCTGGCTTGGCAACCAAAATGTTGGCTCAGAAACTCTGGCATTTGAAGCACGCAAGTCTTAAAGCTGTCAAGTTACAAGACCCTTGCACCCCTAACCATTTAGAAAAAAAACTTGACAGCTTTAAGACTTGTGGACTTCAGCTCCCAGCATTCCTCCTCTAGTCATGTTGGCTCAGGAACTCTGGCATTAAAGTGTGCAAGACTTAAAGCTGTCAAGTTACAAGACCCTTGCATCCATAACTGTTTAGGAAAAAAAAACCCAGGGATGTTCAAACTTGACAGCTTTAAGACTTTAAGGTTTAGATAGGACTCTTAGAGGCGGGTGGGGTGATTGGTGAGCCAGCCAATCAGTGAGCGGTGGGCAGGGCAAGCGTGGTGCAGATGGGGGGGGGAGGGAGCTGGAACCAATTTCTAAACGGCACTGTAGATTTGTGGAATCTCTTCCATAGAAGAGGTTAGAACTGGCAGGAACCCATTCCTGATGCTAGGAAGCAAAATCAATCCAGCATGATGCATGCTAGGCCCATTTTTTACATGTATTCTGACATCACAGGAGCTTCTGTCACAGTGGTGACATGTTGTTTTCATCACTTAATAAAAACTCTGAATCTCTTGGATACGTCTCTTCTAAGACATTAATCCTGCCTTAAAATGTGATATATTCATAAAAAAGGACATAATATGTCACTTATAATTAAAAGTAGAGCAACATTAAGATTGATTGGAAAAAAAACCCTATGGAAGCTTGTGTTTCTGCCTTCAAGTCAGTGTTGCCTGCTGGCGACTCCCTGGAGTTTTCTTGGAAAAAAATCAGACATGATTTGCCATTGCCGGAAAGAGTGACTGGTCCAAATTAACCCAGTTGGATTTGTGCTCAAAGTAGGACTAGAACTCCCAGTCTGCCAGTTTCTATTCCCATGCTTTCATCCCTGCACTAAACTGGCTCTTCAAGCTTAGCTTATGCCTAATTGATTTTCCTATTCTACTCAGGGGGATAGGCACTGTTTTCCTTTATCAGCAAACCTTCCTGTAATGGCATCTTCAATAGCACTTAAAACCCATCTTGTAAAATTGCAATAATTGGCACTTCTCTCTTCATTCACAGGCAAATGTTCTCTCTCAAATCCAGCATCTGCTTTCCAGAAAGGAAGGATTGTGCCAAATAATGAGAACATTTCCAGGTAAAATTTTGAGTTATATTAAAAAACCAAACCATGACCTTTGATTGCATGCTCAAAGGAAGAGAAATACGGGAATCTGACCTCTGAAGATAACACAATGAATCAAGTGAAATCAAAGTTTTATTGTGCCCATAAGGCCAGCAATCAGATAAAATTGAAATAGATAAAACTGAAAATATTGGTTATGGTATTTCAAACTTGATCAATAATAGCAGAAAAGTCGTTTAGCGGTTTGGATAAAAATGAAGGCTTTTGCATAGGTTCTCAGCAGAATTGCAAATCTGTTTCGATTGTACCACTTTACAATGCAGGTATGATTTCTCATGATTTGGTGTTCGATACGCATATTATGTGAATGTCTCTGTCCTTTAATAAACATGTGTAAAGAACACTAAACAATAGGAAAACGTTTAAATTTAATACATTTCCTTTGTATGCTAATTTTCTATATACAGTGACACCCCACTCCTCCCAGTGTAGGAACTTTCAATCAAATAAACCCCAATTTGAAATTAAAGCGCTGGCTTTATATTGTCAACCCAGGAGCAGACGTGGTTTGCTGCCAGTTTGGCCCGGTTCGGCTGAACCAGTAGTGGAATTTAGGCCTGGGTCACAGAACTGGCAGCAACCCAGGCCTGCCACCCCCCTGAACCAGTTCCCTTGCTGTCGCTTCCTGATTTTAGTGACTGCACATGCACATGTAAATTGTTCTGTGCATGCGTGAATAACAATTTACATTGAATAGCGCACATGTGCACAAGTGCACATCTAGCACACGAGCAAAGTGAGTGTGCGGGTTGCGAACCGGCAGTAATGCTGGCAGCAACCCACCCATGCCGAGGAGGATTTAGCTCTTAAATGTTTCTTTCACTTATGTGTGTTTCTCAGTTTATTTAGTTGCTGTCTAATCTATACATATAAAAATGGCTGTGTGTGTGTGTGTGTGTGTGTGTGTGTGTGTGTGTTCCAACATAACTTTGGAACACCTCAAGCAATTTCAACCAAACTTGGTACACAGATGACTTTCTCTCTGGAAACAAAAAAACTGTGGGGGTACGACACCCCTAACACCCCTCAGGTGGTGTGTTCTGTTAAGATACAGCTGGTTGTGGTTTAAAATGGCTTCTACTGTACTGCCATAAAATGGCTTCTACTGTGCAGCGCGGTGGAGTTGCCATGGTAATGGCTTCACAGTACTCCACAAGGGAGCTCCCTCTGGTAAGTGGGGAAATCCAACATTAGAAATTACGTTTGGTCCAGACATTTCCCCCCCTATAAATAAATACCGAGGCAACGTCGGGTTATCGGCTAGTATTCTATAAAATCCGAGGGGCTGTAGAAATAATAATTGAATAGTAATTAGTAATTATAGAAATTTAAAAAGGAGGAATTTTCTGTAACCTTCACCCTCAAATAATGCAGTTTCTTTAAGCATATGAATCAAACAGAATAACAATTAGTTATGTATCATGTCTGTAAGGTTTGAAAAGTCATCTTCATTTCAGTTAATAAAAGGTTGGAAGCAGCAGAAAATGTACCAGCCAAGATAGACATAAGTGGCTTTGAAACCTAAGTTGTGGAATGATGTTTTTTCAAAAGGCAATTATACTGTTTCTTTTTTCCTTGATGAAGCTTCTTGGATGAGAAGCAAAATGTTTTCCTTTTTTTTCCTCAAGAAAAAAACCCAGTGCAATTGCCTTTGGAAAAAGCATCTTTGAGACAACTCTGACCTGAATGATGAGAATCCCCACAGATGTCTGCTGTGTGTGTGGTTTTATCCTTCAAGTGAGAAACAATCAAGAGGTGCCAGTACAGAACAATCTGTGCCAGATCTGGGACTGTTCTGACCATTGTTAAGGCCAGTCATACACTGAGGGGTGGGTGGGGGGAGTAAAGTTACCTGGCACATTTAAAGAAAAAAGAGAACCATGAACATTCTGATCTTGTGATGACTTATAAAAATCTAATGCACACAAGGGTTTCTCTATTGTTGAAAACACTGAACCATTAAAAAGAAATCTTAAAAAGAGGCCTTTTCATAGCCCAAGCTTATATCCTGCATATTTTTCAGGATGGTTTCGAAGACAAGTTAAAAGTTAGAATAGACATTTAGTGTCCTGTTTATTATTTATGTCTATAATGCTATATAGTATCTTAACGTTTGTATATACTTTACTATGTTCCTATGGTTCTATTTCCTATCTTAGAGCTCTAACTTTCTATGCCAGGGGTTGCCAACCTTTTGGACCTCAGGAACCACTAAATTCATAATTTAAAATCCTGCAGAACACTAAAATGATTTTTTAAAAAAATAATAATAATATTTAGTGCAATATAAAAATGTAAATATTTTTTCTGCAGACCACCAAAATTTTCTCATGGACCACCAGTGGTCCATGGATTGGTGACCACTGTTCTATGCTATATATCACTGTGTTCTATATTATAATCAGTTGTGACTATCATTTCCACTGTTTTTTGTGCATACTTCTTCATTCCTGCCTTATCCAGGCAATTTTGTCATTTGTATATAAATTAAGTTGCTACTCTTCAGTTTTGTGCTACAATACTATGTCTTGCTGTGAGGCTGCTGCCCAGTGGAATTCTGGGCTTCTGATAGTTATTTTGTGCTAATGGGTAGAAGATAGATTGTTGTTTTGGGTCTGGTGTTACGATCTCTGATCACTTTGCAGTACAATTAGTACTCTGGGCTCTCACACACTAGTTGCCAATGGTCCAGGACTCCTTACATAGTTCTCAGTATGCAGAGTTTAAATGGTAAAGTAGCTGGTGTGTCCAGTACCACCACTGCTAATATTTTTGGTCACTGTCATAACCTCCAGTATCCACCCATTTCTTGGCATCTTCATGAGTTATGCTGCTGATCTTCAGCAATTTTTTGTAATGACACACTTTACAGTTGACAAAACTCATTTTCAAGAGGCCAACATACCATAATCCATGGGTTGGGATTCTGCAGAAGTGAAAAAGGAAAGAGCGATGTGGTATTTTCTTACCCTATGTGCTTTTCATTTTAGAGTTATATACGGCCTTTCTTGAGGAAACGTTGCTCTTCTATATGACGTTTATTTTCCTATACTATATTTGTTTCAGGTTCTTCAGGGCCCTGCCAATGACCTCAGTATAAAAATAATCTCTTTCTGCTTTTTTTTCTGAAAGTATTTCTGAGAGGGGGAAAAACAGCAATTTTTCTTTCTCTCACATACACAAATAGAAGCATATGGTAAGCCTTCTGCTTACTTGGCTGCAAGACTTGGTACACTCCCTTAGTCTTGCCTGGAGAGAAATTTGGCTCTCTGTATAGAATGTTTGCGTCATCAGCAGAGCCTTGAAATGTCTGGAGGGATGCCACAGATCCTGTATTTCTCTTCATCAGTAGTCAGTCTTATACTTCGATTAGATAGAAATTGGCAACTGGCAGATCGGTGTTGTTCTAGCGGCTATACATCTGTTCTCGTTTTGGGGGGGAGAAACAATTACTAATAATGAAGCAATGCTCTCTGATTTCCCCTCAATTTTGGTTTTGGTCAGATGATCACATAGTTTCATCTTCTTTTCCCCCCAGAAAGAGTGTTCCCAACAACAGGTGGCTGGCCACAAACAACTCTGAGGTGTGTCATTTTCAGCTGCATTCCTTTTAAGGGTTGGACAATCAACAGCTGTCTGTACTTTGCACAAGGGGATAGATCACACTTAAATATGGGCTTGACCAAAAAAAAATACATTAGAAATAGTCTGCTAGGAGAGAACTGTGTTCAACAATACAACAAGACCAGTATATAAAACACAGACACAATGTACATAGATACAGATACAGATACACATATGGATATAGCAGTGTTGGATTTTCAGTTTTTTTACTACTAGTTCGCTTGTGTGCTTGTGCGCACGGGCAACATTCCTGCGCATGCACATAAGCATCCAGGCGGGTGGGCAGAGCCTCTCATCACCACTACTACTGGTTCACCCGATCCAGGCCGAACCGGGACAAAACCACCACTGGAATATACAGTTGTAAGAAAAAGTATGTGAACCCCTTGGGATTATGTGGAGTTTTGCATGAATTGGTCATAAAATGTGCTCTGAACTTCATCTAAGTCACAACAATAGAAAAACACAGTCTGCTGAAAATAATACTACACAAACATTAGATGTTGCCATGGTTTAATTGAACATAACATGTAAACATTCACAGTGCAGGGAGGAAAAAGTATGGGAGCCCCTAGCCTAATGTCTTTTCCAAGAGCTAATTGGAGCCAGGAGTGAGCCAACCTTGACTCCAATCAGTGTGATGATATTGGATGTGTTGCTGATAGCTGTCCTGCACTTTAAAAACACACACCTGTTGTGGGTTTACTGGTTTCAAGAAGCATTGTCTGATGTGAACCATGCCTCGCAGAAAAGAGCTCTCAGAAGACCTACGATCAAGAATTGTTGACTTGCATTAAGCTGGGGAAAATTGTGTATATATTATTTTTGACCATAATGGCCTCAACAATGGAAACATGGAAATGGATGGAAATGATTTTTGTTTTGTATCCTGGGAGATTTGGTGAAAAATTTCTGTTTTAGATTGATTAGGTCCATCCTTCCACTCACATATTTTCTGGTATGAAGGGAGTGTGTGTGTGAAAACTACACATTGGTAGGGTTTTTTGTCATATTTGGAGAGCAATTCCAGAGGGTTTTGGAGGCTTGAGTAAATCATTTGGGTGCTGCCTATGTCTGCTGATATAAATGAATGGTTATAGTATTATATAGGTTATGCATCTGAATATATATAGTTTATATGTATCCATTCCAGAACACATACAGGCAAAGTGACTTTAATCTAGTGTTACCAATCAAGTGATTCCAAGAAACTAGATCAAACTGTCATAACCACCAGAAGGCGTAGACGTATTTTGAAATGGTGAAGGTGGATTTTATTTCTCCCCAGTAGCCAGTCTCCCAAATGCACCAATGGCTTCTTAAGTCAGAACATCTTTCCAAACACTTAACTCATCCAGCAGTTATGCTGGAACCATTTTAAGATTAAAGGGTAAGAAGTGCTAAGTGAGGAAGAAGAATATATTTCGGCATATCTGTCACTGGTGGTGGAAAATATGACAGTGCATACTTGTTATCAAAGGAAATTGCTTCATTTTCTGAAGGCAGGCAGTGTGGTGAAAAGCAAAGCCAGATAGACAATATCTACATTAAAGGATGACTGTCGATCTCTTATGGACCTTTTGAGTAAAAATGAAAGAAAAATGAACTTGTGATTTATGATTTAGGTAAGTTAGATTATAGAAAGAACAGTAATAAGATATACAGTAACTTCAGAGAGACAGGTTATAATATATTTGTAATTATAACTGCTGTGAAGAATATTGGAAATCAGATTTTTATATCTTTATTTTCTATTTTTCTTCAACTTTTTTCTTTCCTTGCGCTTTTTGCTTTTTTTGGTTTTCTTTTCCTGTTTTCCTCATAGAAAACATTGTATCCTATTGTATTAGAATAATTCTTACTCTTCTTAATCCGTGCACCCATAAACTCAAATCTAGTTTTCTCAAATCTAGTTATCTGGAAGTTTTTGTTTTCTATGCATCTTCATATGTAAGACATGTGACTCACCTGGAAGCACTCTATCCATACTGAAAACAAACCAAGATGAATTAAAGCTGTTAAAGGAAATTACAAAGATGTTTTAGGGTGCTAAAATGACACATAGAAAAGACGCATAGCTTTGTCCTGTAGAAACTTATTTTGACAGAATAGTAACTACATCAAAAGCATTCGAAAGACAAAACCAGCTGTATATCCATTTTTTTTAAAAAAAAAAATCTGGTCTTGAACTGTAATAAAATGTTGGTCATTCATTGTGTTAAAATGGAAAATCTTTTTTATTTCTCCTTACCTTTTTCTAATTTTATTTATTTATTTTATTTTAAAAACATGTTTACTGTTAAGATAATGAAATGCAAAGGAAAAAAGAAGGTAGTTTTAAAGGATTTCAGCTCTGATTCACACATTAAGGCATATGCAGTGAATATTCTCTGCTAGATAAAAGCAATGAGATTTGTCGGCCAGCAAATCTTTTAACATATTTATTCAGGTGAACCTAAATAAACCTTATTCTATTCAGTGGCTCTTAATGCATTTAGAATTTTGCCCTTGAAATATTTCAGTACTCATGCATGCAACCAGTGCAGAAATTATAAATTTTGTTTTATTAGAAATCTGAATATGTTGAGGCTTTACAAGTTTGTACTCTGTTTGATTTTATTCCCACCCACCCGCACTCCATCTGCACTTATCCTAAATCTCACTTTTTGCTCACCATCACCCTCAAATCCTAGATCCAGCGAGGAAGAAACATGCAATCAAACAACATAGCTCAGGGGTCTCAAGCTCAAGGCTTGCGGGCTGAATCCAGCCCGCAGGGTGCTTAGATCTGGCCCATGGAGCTGCCTTGGAAACAGCAAAAGGCTGGCCCGCAGTGCCTTTGCCAGTGAAAATGGAGCTCAGGGCCAGGGTGGGCATGGCCAGCTCAACATCACTCTTGTCGGGAGGCCTTGTGGTGGGTGAAGCGCTCTGCAAGCAAAAATGGTCTCCCAAGCTCCGTTTTCACTGACAGAAGGTTGCAGGAGACCATTGCAGAGAAAACAGAGCTCAGGAGTCCACTTTTGCTGGCAGAACGCTTTGTCCACCACAGGTGCCCCCGACAACAGTGACGCTGAGCAGGCCATGCCCCACCTGGCTATGCCCCACCTGCCCCCCTCCCAAAGTCAAGCACAACCCCGATGCAGCCCTCAATGAAATCGAGTTTGACACCACTGATATAGCTGATCTCTACAAGGGACTCTCCTTGAGTAGTATTTAGAAGCTTCAGATAGAGCAAAATGTGGTAGAACAGGCAGTTATGGGTACTAATTGCTTGGTGCAAGTGACATCTCTACTCTGTGATCTGGATTGGCTACCAGTATGCTCCCAGATGCAAATCAAGGTGATGGTGGTTCATGGCTTGTGACCAGGTTACCTATGAGACTGTCTCTCCCTGTTGATGTCTACCCATCCTGTTAGATTCGGCAGCAAAAGCAGAAAATGTCCTTTAGCAGGACCTCCTCCCTATGATATCAGCCTTGTCCCAACCATGCTAACCTTCTGCAAGACATTGAAAATGCGGCTTTGCAATCAAACATGAGGCCATGATCATGTTTCTTGGTCTTGGTTGTGTTAACTGAGTGTTCCCAAATGCTGTATTATTCAATGCTATTTCTGTTGTTCTAAAATGTGGTTGTTTAGTGAGTTTTTATTCTATTTTTAATTGTTAGTCCCCAAAGAGTCGTTACGAATGGACAGCCATGTAAAGTCAAGCACATGTAAATTTATTTTAGGATTTAAAGATCATATGGGAAAGATTTTTAAAAAACCCATACAAAATGCTGATGAGTGACAGGAAAATGAGCATATCTGCTATCTTGCATTAGCAAACTTTCTTGTCTCTCTGACGCACAGCTTTGGCAATAGAATTCATATTAGTTCATTAATTTTCCAACTATGGTACAGAGTATATGCACACTATGATCTGTGTGTATATAGCTGTCAAATTACAGTGGAATGCCTGTGTGCTTGGACATGTTTGTATCAAAAGTTCTTAAATACTCCCTAAAACAATGTGAAAGATTTGCTTTCAGTTTCCATAATGAAATAAAATAGATTGCCTTTAAAACCAGCTCAGCATGGTGTGGTCCCTTGTTAAGTAATGAGATCTGCGGATAACAGGAGCAGCTTGATCTCTTCCTTCCTTAAGGCATTCAGAAATGTCTAAAAATGGCCTTTGCTTGGTTAATAAAAACCACACCACAAATGAACAAAAAAGGCTGCAACATAAGAGATGGGAAGAAAAGGGAAACCACACCCTCTATTGGTAGATCTCATAATAGTTTGGGTATTTCAAGGATTAATTATCTGAGTCAAACTCATCTGTTTAAGCTTTCACGGACATGCTCATGTTGTTTACTCAGCAAAAATAACAAACTGGGATGTCACTGTTATTTTCAAGGATTTTTTAAAAAAAATCTCAACTCTACCATTCCTTGGAGATCTCCCATTCAAAAAATCACCAAGCCATGGCCTTCTAGCATCTCAGTTCTGACACGATCATCCAAACATTGTCTCATTCAAGTAACTGACTTTGTTTATTTACACATCTCACTACCTAAATGGTTCTGGGCAGTTTACAGATACTTTATCAATGTTGCACCAAAATATTGTATGTTGTTGAAATCTCAATTGGCAATGTTTCCACAACTGTATTAGAAAAAAGCCAATATTTTTATTTAATGTTTCAACATTTTGGATGGTAAACAAAGGTGTCCTATTACTACTACATCAATACACTGTATTTACAGCCCAATCCTATGCTTCAAATTAAATCCAATAGTTTTGTGGAGAGATTAAATAGAATCTAGATACATTACATTTTCTTTAATGTTTATGTTGTAACCAAACATTATGTTATATTTTAGGATATGGCTTTTTGAAATCACTAAGATGAATTTGCAGAAAGTATCATTTCGATTGTCAGTATCCTATGTTTCAAACTTTATCTCATTTATGCTGAGAATATAACAAATGAAGTCTGATAAATGCACTGATTATGTCATATGAATATGAAAAAGTTAAGTTGGTATACCTGTTATATTTTGAATGGGGCAACACAAATGATCCCATTTAAGCCATTGTGAGATATCTAACTGAAATAGCAGATGAATTTATTAAACATAAATAAAAATAATAAAATTAGAATCTACCCCTGTTTCATTTTGATTCCACCTCAACAACCTAATGTGATTTTTTTTTCCAGATATGCATCTTCCAATTATTTCTTCCGCTTGCCCAGAATCAAAAATTCTATCTCTTCATACACTCAAATCATATGATAAGAATGAAAGGATACGTTTGATAGAAACGTTACATCAGCCAGCCAAGGTTGTTCACCAGTAAGATATTTTTATTTTCTTAACAAAACCTCCATGGTGGAATGAAATGCTACATTTTGTTCATTATATTTGAATTTCTTGTGATGTAAAAGGGGAGAACCAATAGTACACTTTTTATGTGTTGATCAAATATGTTCCCTTCATTTTCTTCTATTTCACTGCTGGGTTCCAAAATTGTAGACTTGAATGCAATTGAGATTAAAATGACTAAATATTTGTAGGGAACAAATGGTTGTGCTGAGAAGAATTAGGATAAACAAATAAACAAACTCTTTATTATATACCTAACTATACCATACTTTAACAATACTGTTATTTGATAAACAAAGAGTAGGAGCTCTGATTCTATTGAGATAGTTGTCTAATTCTAATCTTTGAATGTGACTTAAAAAAGCCACAGATTAAGAAAATAAAGAAGAGATGTATGTATACATTTCTCTATCACATTTGTATTCAAGATTCAATAAGCAATCAAACTGTCTATATATCCATCTGGGTACATATTTGTAGAATATAAATAGCATGGAACAATTAATTTATTAGGATAATGGTAGAAAATAACATTTTGTGCTAATTTACAACATTTTTATGAAAGTTTATAGAATGTAGTTCAATTAAATATCAAATACCAATAATTCAGGTCTAAGTTTATAGTGAAGTACATGAAACAGGATCACAACAATGTGAGAAAGAAAGTCTGGCTGATGAGCCAAGGTGGCTCATCAGTGTTGCAGGCAAACTCTGCCCTCAGTCAGGAGTTCAGTTCTGACCTGCTCAAGGTTGACTCAGCCTTCCATTCTTACAAGGTCAGCAAAATGAGAATCCAGATTGTTGGGGATTGTAAACTGCTTAGAGAGGGCTGTAAAACACTGTAGAGTGATATATTACAGAAAGTCTAAGTGATATTGCTATTGCAAAAGGAAGGCATGTTTTGATATTTTAATGGAGCAGCAGGTTTTTTTTTTTAATTAAGTAGTATAACAGCTGGATGGAGAACAGAATGCTGTTTTAGCTGTCCTTAAGGCAACAAAATCTCTTGGTCCAGTACTAGATGTCCAGGACATCTTTGACTCTATATTCACATAACCAACTGAAATGTAATTAATGAAGACATTTCATGAAAAAACTTTCTTGTTTTCCTGCCTCTGACAGACAGCATAGCTACACAAATAGGGAAACTCTTTTTGAATTTTGTACAACATGACATCAAAATGTGCTTCAAACAAGCAAGCAAGAAAAGTCGATAATAATTCATCAAACCATTATACATGTTGGTATAGTCTTGGTATAGTGCCCAAAGACTCTTTCTGGCTCATAAGGACAAAAATACACAAAAAATACACAAAATTACTCACATTTTGAGTAAACATAAAATATAGTAGAAGTCAGAAACAAGGCAAAGCTCCCAAGTCAGTGAAGAAAGCAAGAAAGCCTCTTAACTTGTCATGTATATGGATTGTTGTTTCCACTCCGAAAAAAAATTTTTTTTTATTAGGATTGCACAGAAGAAACAACTTTCTAATATTATATTGTAATTTTCCAGATACCCAATCCCCACTAAGACAGAAAATAAAGCAGCCTTTAAAATTCAAGATTTTTCCATCATCATCAAAGTGTATGTGTTGGTGACATCATTAACACCTTTACAGGCATTCATTCATTCAACTGGAATTGTCTGGGATCCACCCAAGAAGAAGCATTTTTCAGTCAAGGTAACATTATGTTTTTCTCTTTACTTCAAAACAGGGAGCTTCTTTTGGGGGTTTCTTTTGCTTTTATTTTTATTGAAAATGTTTTCATTTGGGATAAGGTCTCTATAAGGCCAAATTTAGACTGCGTAACTGCATGTAAGAGGTAGTTGCTCTAAAGCAGTCTTTCTGAAAAAGATTCTTGTATGAGAAACGTTTCCAAAAAAAACCCAAGAAAGATCAGTTGCCTTTGCTATATAAATGAGGATCTTGGCAGCAATGTCCATTACCATATTCCCCTAATCAGTTACTGATAAGAGTGGATGATCATGTTTTTATTCCTGGTTCTGTTAACAGAGAGCTGTTATATTCATGAATATGAGTTAGACAGCCACATAACTTTGTTTTAGGAGGCTTTGGACATCATATGGAGAAGATAAAAAATCCCATATGAAAGTTGTCTTTAATGAGTTCTGGGAATATCAGGTGCAGTTTGATCTCTTCTTTCCTTAAGACATTCAGAAATGTCTAAAACTGGCATTTGCTTAATTAATTAAAACTTAGCTAATAATTAAAACAAACATATGCAAATCACAAATAGATTTATAAGGAGGACTATGTCTTGCCACAACATACACAGAGCCAAATAATGTTGTGCTGAGCCGAACGCATTAGTCCCAGGGACACATTATTCCTTGTATCGCAAGTCCCCAAAATTCTTGAACAAGGGCTAAAATTGCCATAAGTTCACCCTAAGCAAGAAAATAATCAGATGCCTATCAGCATGGCTTAATATCAAGGAGTGCAATTTATCTCCTGGCTAGGACAATCATTACAGCATTACTCATGACTTTATTAAATGGCTACATCTGCTGGGAATTTATTTTCAGTCAAGAGAATTGTAAACTCTATAGGGCTATAATACAACAATAAATGTAAGGTTTAAAAAATTGATACATGTATCCTGCTAGTATTTGGATTACACGTGTCTGGCTGCTCTCTTTTGTCTAGAGCTCTTTTGTCAGGGGTGTCAAACTTGATTTCATTGAGGGCCGCATCAGGGTTGTATTTGACCTTGGGNCACATCTTAAAATTGCTGATATTGGGAAACAGTGGTCTAAAGGAAATAAGAAGAACAAACAAAATTAAAGATTGAGAGTAAATATTTATTTCCTCTGACTGAATCTCTAGAACTAACTGAATTGCATTCAGAAGTACTTACCGTACTGGATAGTCTGGTTGAAACTTTATCAAAAATCCTGGTCAAGAAGTACAGGGGAATAGAAACATTAAGAAACATTGATTAATAAAAGTTACCACATCTTTGTCCAAAATAAATCTGCCAGGCAAATTTTATTTCATGTTTCAATGGAATAACTTCCTTAGCAGTTTGTGGGAATGCTGTAGACATAAATTGTATATTTTGATTTTAGCAAAACATTTGATAAAATATCTTGTCATGCTGATTAGCAAACTGGTTAAGTGTGGGCTAGATGACATAGTAATTAAGTGGATACATTAATTATGGCTCAATACTCCTACTGAAAGAATGCATATTAATGGATTCTCATAATTGGAGAGGGGTATCAAGTGGGATGTCTCAAGGATCAACCTTGGTTTGTTATTTTCATTAGTGATTTGGATAAAGTAGGGAAGTGAATACTTGTCAGATAGGCAGATGAGGCAAACTTGGATAGATTAGCTAATACTGTGGAAGACAGATATTCAAAACAGTCTTTATAGATTGGAAAAAGTGGGCTAAAAGAATAGAATGAATTTGAATTGAGATGAGTGCAAAATTGTATACGTAGAAAACAAAAACAAATGTACAAGTAAAAATGTTACATAGAAAAAAGAGCAGGACCTATTGTCTCTTGCTCCAGATTCATGTTCCAACACTATGAAAACTTTATCCTAGTGCTGGAGTCCTCAAACTATGGCCCACAGGCTGGATACGTCCCGCCAAAGCCATTCATCTGGCCTGCGTGGGATCACAAGGCTGTCTTGCCCACATTGATCCGCCCTGCCTTTGCCGAGCGCAGGATTTACCTTTGCGAACCCCGCGGTCTGGAACTGGAAGGTAAGGTCAATGTTTCTGGCTGATAAAATGCTTTTGGAGGCCGGGGAGGTCAAAAACAAAGCGCACGGAGGCACTGGGAGGCCTCTGTGTTGCATATTCAATATGCAAATACCAGCTGCGACCTGATTGGTTGGTCNTTTACAGAGTCAGCATATTGCCCCCCAACAATCTGGGTCCTCATTTTATCCACCTCGGAAAGATGGAAGGCTGAGTCAACCTTGAACCTGGTGAGATTTGATCTGCCAAATTGCAGACAGCTGGGAGTCAGCAGAAGTAGCCTGCAGTACTGCATTCTAACTACTGCGCCACCATGGCTCTGTAATGATAACACCTATTTAAAGAAATGCTAATATAGGATCATCATTTATTGAATATTTAAAATGGGAATTCCTATATAATCCTCACAGATGCATATCTATAAATAAATGATATATCACAAAAATACCTCCTCTTTTTGCCTCACAGTATCTGTGACTTTGGTGTCACATTCCTTAAATATGAAGAAGGTCTCAAAATATACTTTGCTTTCCCTTGGTAATAAGTTAAACTGGGGGAAATTATGGTAAATATAAAATGAATATCTGATATTATTGTAATCTGTTTTCTATAAATTTTTAATAACTCTTCCAAACCATTTTAATATAGTTTTTCACACAATACTTTAGCTGAGAAATAGCAGAGAATAGTTTCTTCCTTGAAAACTGGTGTTAGGTTAGATAGTTGTTCTTTACTTCTGTTTTCCTTTGTGACATACAGAGGAGAAGCATTTTAATAGTTCTTAGTGATGTCCTCATTTCGTCATATTATTTGAGAATAATCCAGGAACCAAAACTAACAGATTCTGGCCATGCTCAACATGTTCTGGCCTTGCTGTCTGGTTTAACCATAGTTTAATTAAATAACAGTCATTGCTAGCAATTTGTAAAATCACATGCACCACCAAACAGCAACTAATACCTCACTTTTCAGTGTTGCATTACACAGATATCCAACAAAGCCAAGAATCCCTTTGAGTATCTATAAAGTTCTAATATTTCAAACCAAAGGAAATACAACTTTTTGCCTGTCCCACAGAAGAACCATATCTTGTAAGGTCTATATCCGGCCTGCTGGTGCTATAATTAAATGACAGATCAGTGACTCATATTGATGATGTGTGGGTGAGATTTGGAGATTCCTCATCTTTAGTTCTGGATAGAATTGAATTCTCCAGACAGAACTGGCATCTAACTTGGGGCTCCTATAAGACTCATGGCTTTTGTTTGAAGAGCAGGTGAGAGCTGTGAGCAGGTGAGCTTTTGCACAAGTAAGGTACTAATACCACTCAATAAAGCCTTAGTAAGACCACACATAGAATACGGCAACCAGTTTTGGTCACCACACTATAAGAAAGATGTTGATACTCTAGAAAAAGTGCNCTTTTGTTTTTCCCCACTTCACAGGGCTAATCCTGTAAGGGAGGCAGGAAGGAAACATTCTAGCCTAGTGTTTCTCAACCTTGGTGACTTTAAGTTCTGTGGACTTCAACTCCCAGAATTCCCCAGCCAGCATAGGATTGGTTCAGCATAGCTGGCTGGGGGATTCTGGGAGTTGAAGTCCACAGGACTTAAAAGTCACCAAGGTTGAGAAACACTGTTCTAGCCTCATCTTTATTGCCCTGCTTAGAGAAACTGCCTCTCCAGTTAACCCTTATTACCATTGTAACAACTAAGGCGAAGTGCCCACCGACCTGAGTGGCATTGACTTGGCCACGCCCACATGATCACATGACCACCGAGCCCCGCCTACCCAGCTGGTCATTAGGGCAGGGAACTGGTTGGTAAATTATTTGAATCCCACCACTGCTCCGTCTCTAACAGGCACGGCACACACAAACACACACCGACACATGGATGGGTGGGCATCTTTTGCTAGAATAGCAACTTTAAGAAGAGATTGGACGGCCACTTTTTCTGAAATAGCATAGGGCCAGAGGGGGTTCCTACCAGTTCGGATTGGTTCAGCCAAATAGGTAGTAACTCGGCCTGTCATGCCACCCCTCCCACCCCGAACTGGTTCCCTCTTGTTTTTTGCTTCTGCGCATGCACGGAAGCATTTTTAGTACTGCGCAGGCCCACATCAAGCGCACGCAGCGCATCCCTGAGCGAACCGACAATAGCAGTAGCCAGAACCCACCCCTCTATAGGGGAGTGATGGCGAACCTTTGGCATGCATGCCACAGGTGGCACACATAGCTCTCTCTGGGCACGCCAGCCGTCGCATCAGCCCAGCTCCACTGCGCATGTGCGCGTGCCTCCCGCCAGTCGGCTGGTCTTCAGGTCTCTGCCACACATGCATGGGAAGGGGAGGGGCATGTGTGCNTTAAGCAGGGCTGAGCTCTGAGTAGTAATAATGATGTTTCCATTCAGTTGTGTCTGACTCTTGGCAATTCTATGGGCTACGTCTCTTCACATCTTCTGATCCAACACTACTTCTTTGTCAGTAATAATATTCATTTGAAATATCCTAATAATCAGCAGCAAGGTACTTGTTAGAAAACCCTTCAATTGTTTCAAAACCACCTTAGAGCTGAAATCCTAAATCCAAGTCTTTGTAATCAAGTTGAAATGCTGAGTCTGGATACAGATTCATTAATTTGCTTCATTTTCTTAATGGGCAAATATGAAGCTAACAATCTTTTTTTCCCCTTTCTCCTAGCAGCCCAATCAGATGTTGGGGGAAGGGGGTTTGTGAAGATTATTCACAAGTGAGGCTAATAAAAGTGATGAAAAGGAAAACATCTCTAAGGGATTTAGCAGGGAGAAACAAACAAACAAACAATCACATATGTTTCTTCTAGTTTTATTCTTGACTCTCTCTGAACAAACATTTTGCATCACACTTCCCCCTCCTCTTTTGATGCATGCCACAACATTTCCTAGAAAGGAGTGTGTTGCAGAGGGGAAGAGCGGAGGGAAGCATCTTTAAGAGGAGAAAGATTTTGCCACATTGCTCTAGGCATGCAAATCCATCAGGAAGGAACTTTCATTAAATAATTAACTCAGCCACATGTGAGAGGAAGGTATGTTTGGGTCTTGGCTAAGTAAAATAAAGTAGGCCACCATGAATGGCATTCCTTTCAGAGGGAGGAAGAGGATTTCTCACTTTTTTAAAAAAAGGGGGAAATTCTAATTCCAGAGATGGAGAATGGATTGATAAATGTGAAGTCCTTGGTGTTCTCTGTTTGCTTGCAGACATTTCATTACCAAAATAGGTAACGTAATCAGTGCTAGAAGGAAGTAGGGTTTGCTCTTTGTTTATATACAAGGGATCTGCCCTGCCAATGTTGGTCGGAGTGTTTTCTTCTTGGTTTTCCTTTCTCCTTGATTGGGCTATTTTTTACAACTTGATTATAGGTCTGTTATTAATCCTGATGTTAATTTCTATCCGGATGGAGATTACTGGTGAGGTGGTTTTGACAGCCCTTCAGCAAAGGTAGAAGCAAAGCAACATTCCATAACCATGATGAGGTACTAGGAGTGAGAGAATAAAAGCACAGCTTGTTCTGATGCTTAATGCCTATTCTAAATGGGACTTCCTTTTGTCCTTTGCCAAATATTAAAGATATAACTTTTAAACAGTAACTTTAAATGCCAGCTACTCCAGGGAAAATCCACCCTTCCTTTCATTCTCCTTCATCAAAGTTGATATGGTACTATCCTACTCCTTTATGAATATGAAAAAAATCTGAGGCGGTTTCTTCACTGGTTCCTTGACCAACTTCAGCTCTAAGGTAATAAATGTATTAAGCTTTGCTTTGAATCTGGTCTGGTCTCAGATTTCCCTTAGCCAACTCTTGTCTTGGTTGTACCCCACCCTTCCTCCTGTTCCTCAGAGTTATTCCTTCTACCTATTCTACTTCCTTACAGAAACCACCTGGATGACTGTTCAGGATTTAGAGAAGAATAGGAAGCTGAGGTCCTTAATATCTGGTGGCCCTAAGGTTTACTGCTTCTGAACAAAGAAACTTATATCAACCCTGGCTAATATTTGGTGACAGATCTGTTCTCTGTGAAGGTGTTCAATCTCTTTTTAAAAGCTCACTTAGCCAGTAGCTTTTGCCACATTTTTTGGAAGCAAGTTGAACGAGTTAATGACTCCTGGAAGTCTTCCAGTGCACCAGGTCCAGCCCTTCAATAC